GGCAGATTTATCTGTTCAAGGCCCTAATACATTAACAATAAAGTCTCTTCAGCATATTCGAGAGAGCAGTCTCCAACTACTTTCTTTACAAACAGAGTTGGCTCTCTGCATCCGGGGGTTCCACATCTATGGATCCAACAAACTGGTGACGGAAAATATTCAGGGTGGAGGGATGAAATGGTCAAAGCCATCCCTCAAGGGTAGACAGGGAGCAGTAAGTGCTGCTTGCACGGCATTGACACTAATCCGACATGATCTCAAGTATCCTGTGCTGCTTCATAGAAGGGGCTTGAGCACCTGTGGGTTTTGGTGTCTGAGGAGGTCCTGGGACCTATCCCCCATAGATATAAAGGATGACTAAACTTAGAAAAGTACCCTCCGAAAACCAGTCATTTCTCCAATAGTAGAAAATCTGAGCATAGTCAAGACAAACTTTTTTATACTATGAAATCATGAATGTTTTGCAATCTTGCCTATCTATAAAACAAGTGTATACTAATGAAACAAGAGAGGAGCAAATCTCAAATGCTTAAACCCACCCTACCACACCAATAGCAAAAAATACAATCAAGTCTTCATAAACAATCTGACTTTCAAAAGAGACATCAGCTATAAACAGCTAACATTTTCTTTTAAGAAGGTTGTTGTTGTTGTTATGTGCTGTGGAGTCAGTTCTGACTCACAGCGACCCTGTTTAGGGTTCCCGAGGCTGTATATCTTTACGGGAGCAGAAAGCCTCATCTTTCTCCCATGGAACAGCTGGTAGTTTTGAACTGCTGACCTTGTGGTTCGCAGCCCAATTCATAACCACTACGCTACCTGAGCTCCTTTTTACCATTATAAAATAGACACTTGAGAGGGAGAGAAAGGAATAGCCGGAAATATCACCATAGAAAGCTTGTAAGTCTGTTTTTGCTTTTAACGGATTGGAATACCTAAAATGGGGCTACAACATGCCCAGTGAAAGAGTCTTCCTGCAGAGCCTCTGCATTACATAAGACCATAGGTGGAATCCTGAACAGCATCCAGAATCTTCTGAGGTGGGAAATTTCCACTTGAAAGGACAAGCAGACCAGCTTGGAGCAGCTAGAAGGACAGAAGATACTTCCTGAAAGGAAGACTAACAGGAAAAATACAAAACAATAGAGGCAGACCGACTGATTATTACAAGAACAAGCAAGTTGCTGGCCCAGGAGACATCAAGGCAAGTGGTCAGGTCCCCTCAGGGCAAGCCCCTTTCCAAGACTAAGACTCAATGGGAATACACGCTCTTTTAGGAAGGTATGTACTTAAAATAAAGATTACCTATGTTTTACCAATCCCACAAGAATAAGCAAGTTATTCACCAGGAAGCCATCAAGGCAAGGAATCAAGTTCCTTCAGGACGACCCCTCCTCAAACAGAGGAGTAGTTTATGTTACAGTCCAGAACCAGAGGACCCTAGGATCATCAAGGGGGAAGAGCACAAGCGGAATGTGGGACCTTAACCAGAGAAGCAGCAACACCAGAGATGGAGACAGAGATGACGACTTGGAGAGAGGGAGCAGCTGAGGACTCTAGATTCATGGGAAGAGAGGGACTAAGCTGGTGGCCAGGAGGCAGACTTGCAGAATGTGCTCTTTGGAGGTGTAAATTATTATATATGCCTGTTTAAAAAAACAGAAGAGCTAAAGTGAATAGAGAGAAATACTGTTGACTGATGGTACATGGAGGGGATTATAACCATTGTAATGAAACAAGATGTATGATTTGTTGAATGTAAAACTGATGATCTGCGCTGTAAACTTTCACTCAATTCACAATAAAAACGTAAAAAAAACAAAAACCCATAAACAACTAAACGTTCAGCTTCATGAGTACACAAGTATTTGTATTAACAGAATCAGGACATATGCACCTATACATTTGCTTATCAAAAAGGAAAAGTAATTTTGAAACAAACCCATGAAACAACTTTGTACAGCAGTGTTATTGAGCTTCACTAAGATGCAGTTCACCTGATTAATTTACTCTATGGTCCAAGTTATTCTTGCTGATGGGAGCCAACTCCAGATGAGGGGCAGGGAGTTCACCTCTGAATGGTGCTTATGTGCCGTGGAGTCGGTTCCAACTCACAACTACCCTGTAGAGGGTTTCCAAGGCTGTAAATCTTTATGGGAGCAGAAAGCCTCATCTTCCTCCTGCTTATCTCTGATTAGGAGAAAAACCTTCATGAAAAATGTTTAATTGGTAAGTTTCCTATTTGTATAGACTTCATACTAGGTAGTGACTTTTTATATGGTGATTTTAGGATCTTTTATTGTATATGCATCCCCTCTGTCTGTTTCTATTCTCTCTCTCTCTCTCTCACACACACACACACAAATCAAAATGAGCCCGAACACTTAGAGAAACAGTTTATTGTTTCTCAAACTTGAAAGTCTTTCAACATGTCAATTTCCTGGTCTCAATAACCACTTATAAATTTCAAAGTTAATAGGTAATGATTATCATCTTAGAATGGCTACTTTTTGGTGCTAAAGAAATTTCAGTACAAGAAGGTGACTTAGAATGAAATCTGGAAGTTGTTGTGGTCACTCAGAGGCTCTTTATAGGTTTTCCGAGGAGCAGCTGGTGGGTTTGAACCATAGAGCTTATGGATAGCAGTCCAGTGCTTATCCCACAGCACACCAGGGCTCCACTGACGAGCATGCTGTCGTAGTTAAGTGCCATTGAGTTGGTTCCAACCCATAGCGCCCCTGTATACCAAGGAGCAGCTGGTGAGCTTGAACCACTGATCTTGTGGTTCCAACCAGCTTTACAGTCTAGCACATGAACCCACAGCACCATACCAGCACTCCATTGATGAACTATCATAATTTCTCTTTCCCAAAGATAACATTTTATCTCCTCAATATACATTGGAGAATCAAGAGCTTGTTATCCAACACGATGGATTTACAGTGTGGCGGCTCCTACATGGAATTTTCTAGAGATGCAGGACACGAACACTTGTCTCACTGGTCCCAAGATGAGATCCTTGTGCACCATTTTCAAAATGTGCTCATTTATATGGCAGAAGACTGGGAAAACATGAAACCAAGGATCAAGAAGTATTCCTCAAAAAAAAAAAAAAAAAAGCATTTCTCCCAAGTCAAAGAGAATATAAACTAGGGATGAAAGGGTCTGTGTGTGCATTCATGTAAATCTGCACAGAACCTTTACACACTAAACATGGGTGAACATATTCCGACGGCAGTCTCCTTAGGTAAGATGAACAAATACAGACAAGCATGCTTGTGTTAAATCGGAGAAAGCAGAAGAGTCACTCATACTGAAACAGCATTGACCAGCACAATACAAAAGCCACATTCCCTAACGAGGGTCCCTGCAGGACAGGGGAGAACTGCCCACAGGGTTTCCAAGGCTGTCAAGCTTTACAGATGCCCATGGCTTCACCTGGCTCCCTCTACCCCCACCTCCAGCCTGATGAGTTCAAACCACGGGCCTTTGGTTAGCAGCTCAGTGCTGCAGCTCTGCGCCACCAGGGCTCCTCCATCTAACTGGACAAATCAAGAGAGCTTGTCGACAGTACTGATCTGGTTTACAGCCTCATAAAACTTTTTTTAAAAAAACCATTAAGATTTGGGGGAGTACTTAAAGTTAAAAAATTATCAGCAAAAGTTTCTAAGACAATATCTGAAGAAAGAGGAGGGGACTTGAAACGGGCAGGTTTAGGAGAAGGAAAATGTACAAACTACAAAATCCCATCCTAAAAAGGCTCTGAAGGATCAGAATGCATTTTTGTTGTTGTTTTAAAGAGCACTGTGATTAGCGGACTGTTCCTAAAAGATTCAAAGAAAGCGAAATGAACAGTCTTCTGTGAGTGAAGGGACTCAAGCTAGCAGTGGAGTCCCTTCTTCTTTCCTCACTGAGGGATGCTCCTGCCCTGGGATGGTCCAAGGAAAGCTCTGCTTGCAGGCCTGGGTGCCTGACAGAACCTCAGGAGGGGTTTCCATATTAAAGGAAGGAAGCTGGCTCTTCTTGGAAAGATTAAGACAAAGAGGACAGCCTGCAGGTTAAAGCTTCTGATCACCAATGCTAAATAAGCAACTGCCCAAGATGGTTATCATATGACATAATACTCCGAAGCTGCGTTGAATAGAATGACGTGCTCACTTCTAAGGGCACCGAGAATTCTCTCTTTATCCTTCCAGAAGTGGGGGAGAGGAGTTCTGAGAGTAGGAGGGGAGGCAGGTGACGGTGGTGACTATGTGTATATTATGGTTAAGTATGGATACTATACCTACCAGGGGACTTCAAGAGTTTGTGGAAACACTCCATTATCTTTCAACTCCATTTTTCCACAAACATTTTGAGGCTAGCTCATATTATAGAGAAAACGGCCCCCCCGTGCCTAAAACCTCCCTTGTACAGAGTTTGCCGCTGAACTATCTGGGCACTGTTTATACTGTATGATATTTTTCTCATACAGATAAAACTGCTGAAATATCATTCTACCTGTGGGATAAAGAAGGGGATCATTTTGGCTACCCTAGAACGAGTTAGAATTCCTTACATCTTTCAGGAAGTCAAGGAAAAACACTAAAGCTTTGTGAGAACTTAGATAGGAACTACAAAAAACATTTCTGCTTTTACTATGCAAAATAGATAGACCGTAGAAAACGAACTGTAGGAAAAAACGCCTTATTCCTGCCCACTCGACTTAAATGTCTACAAAACAATCAAAGGTTTTCCCCACAAAAGATTATAAAAACATTTAAAATACAGTTTATAGAGTTTTTATTTACATTTTAAAACTTCAACAACTGGCTGGGAACACCCTGGGGAAGCAGTGTAACCTTCTTATTTGAGACTAGCTAAACTTCAGGGCAGGTTGGCTGATTTGTTCTGTGCTGTTTTAAGGTTGAGCCACAAACAGATGTGTTAGGTGAGAAGAGCCAACTTAGTCATCACTCGGGACATCGACGGGGCTGTGTGGGCCTAGAGGGAGCCCCCACCTCGGTCTGCACTCTGGAGGAGGCGGTCTCAGCGCGCTTTTGTGTGAAGGCTCCACTGAATTCAGCACCACTGCGATGGACATGTGGGACTCGTACCGTTCCAGCATCTGAACAATCTTCTTCCGGGACACACCGTGCTTATTCCTCCTGCAGACACACACAACACACACACACACAGAGTCAACTGCTTTAGAGCAACAGAACGCAGACTCTGAATACAACAGGGCCTTCACAGCATTGGTGGAAAAATGTAACAGAAAGATCATTTCATTTTCTATGAACTTTCTGAAGCCACTTCTATCTTTGCCAGTAAATACTAGGTGACATATTTCATTTGCCCTCATTTTGTCCGAAATTATTTGTATTGGGTCTCTCCAAGTTTCCAACAGTGTTAAAACAGCAAAAGTTTATTGATCAGGCCCCTTGAAAAAGAACCACTCAATCAACTGCCAGCCCCCAACCCTTTATTAAAAAGTTAAAATTAAAAGATTATGAGACTGTCTTAAGAATTACAGAATAATGAGCAGGACTTCCAGAACTAACAAAGTTGTGATGTTTGAAATAGTTTAAGAGAGATAAAATCTGACAACAATGTAAACTTACACTGGTGTAAAGGCAAGAAAGTGAGAACAGTTGTTGTTGATGGGTGCTGTTGGGTGGCTCTGACTCACAGCGCCCCCTGGTGTAACAGAGTAGATCTGCCCCATAGGGTTTCCTAGGCTGTCATCTATTGTGTCACTATATACTCATATATAATCTTATAGATCATCCACTCACAGCGCCCCCTGGTGTAACAGAGGAGAACTGCCCCACAGGGTTTCCTAGGCTGTCATCTATTGTGTCACTATATACTCATATATACTCTTATAGATCATCCACTCACAGCGCCCCCTGGTGTAACAGAGGAGAACTGCCCCACAGGGTTTCCTAGGCTGTCCTGATGGGAACAGACCGCCAGGTTCTCCTGTGGAACCACTGGCCGGGCTCTATCTGCTGACCTCTGAATTAAGCAGCCAGGTGCTTAACTGCTGTGCCACCAGGGCTCCTTTAGGCCATGATCACAAAGTCACAGCAGTGGTGCCTCTCAAGGCATTTGGGAGGGGCGAGTTTGGAGGCTCTCGTGTGATGGTAGGGAGGAGGGGAGTCTCTGTTTCCTCTAGAAGGCATGTGTCACCTGCATCCTTATACATTGGGGCTTCAAAAAGCACGTGGGAAAATGCAATGGAACGAGAATGTGATTTTTCTAAAAACGTTTGGAAGCCCCTTGTATACTGCACACTTTTGTGTGTGTGTGTTTACTATACAGGACAGGCAAAGGGGCTTGCAGGTTATTCTTGACCCACAGAGAACTTCTTTCATTTGATTTTTCTCAGTTTTCTATAACTTAATTAGGACACAACAAAACATACATTTTACATTTAACACTCTCCTTCCTTCTAGATTTACTCAGAATTGTGCAAAATTAAAGTTGGTTTTTCAAAATGATCAATATTGTGGTTCAATATTGATTCAATAGTGAGGAGCATAAAAAACAAAAAGAGGGAGCAGATGACAAAGTGTCACGATGTGACGAAATTATCCACACGATGCCTGAAGTGATGATCCAACCTATTCTTTTAAAACACCAGTCAGATCCGCAGCCATGGTGAGTCACACTGGTTCTGTGATTTGAATTCCCAAGTTCTGAGATGCAGTCGAACAGCTGAGCACGAGAGCTTTTCTGTTGGCCAACGTGGCAGCTGCACCGACCTGGCCGGCCCAGGCAGCAGGACGATGAGCTCCTTGAGCTCGCGCTGTCCTCCTGAGCAACCTCGTGATCTAACTCAGCAGATCCAGAACCTTCGTCATGTGATGCGGGGTTACAACAAGCTGCCTCAAACTCTGTGAGGAGTGTGTCCCCATGACCCTCAGAGACTCCACAAGGACCTGAGCTCCAAAACACAGGAGTTGCAAGAGTCTTGGTTCTGGGATCAGGGTCTTGTAGCAGCACAGATGGAAAAGGCGGAAGGAACAAGATGGATAGAGCAGACAGGCAGCTTACTGGGAAGGATGGGGAAAGGGCAGGGTACTGCAGCGCTGGCCGAGCTACAGACCAGTGCGAAACAATCCCATTTTTCCCTCGGAGTTTCACACGACCAGGCTCCTTGTTGGTGCCAGTTGTATTAGAGTAGTTTTTGACCCCCCAGGACTCTCAACATTCCTCTAGCAGACAAAGTACAATATGGTGGTAGTTCCAGTTCACAGAGAGCGCAGACAGGGCAACAAACGGCAGCGCGGAAAACAGACCAGGTTGAGAAGAAAAGGGAAGGTAAAACAAAAATCAATCAATAAAAACTTGAGTGCCTTACTTTTCTAATTCTTCGGGATCAAATTTCCACCAAGTTTCTGGCTCATGAAACTCTACTCTGTATCCTTTTCCTACGGCCTACATAAAGGAGAGGGAGGAGAAAAAAAACAAACCCAGAGTACACTTCTTAAAGTAAAAAAAGACGGCAGACAGATAAATAGGTTTCATATAGGCAGTACATTTGTTCACATGGACTTCATAACAGAACGTGTTTTGTAGAAATCCCACCTGGGCAGACTGCAGCAACTACCCCGCAGTCTAGTAAAGATTAATGAGATGATCGTGTTTATTAAGAAAAAGCACTATTATCAAGTTATAAAAAACAAAGCCAAACCATTAACCTCTTTAAGTAAACACAAGGACAAAGGTTTTTACTGATAAAGAGCAAAGTAACCATATTTTTATATTAAAAATAAAAAATGGCAACAATTTAAAAAACCAAGTGTCTCGCAGTTCATAGTTACCATTTCCACGTATGGCTTCATCTCCCACGCCTGCGTATTAGTGTTGTCAATTATAACTGGAGATCTCCCCTGAGCGATCGCTTGTTTTGCTGAAATCAAAGTCAATTTAGAAAACAGGAACAAAGGAAAAAAACAAAACAGACAGTCATTAGGAGAAAACACAAACACGAGGCAACACTCCAACACGTGTTATTAAGAAACGGTCTGCCTACGTCTCTGTCATGAAGGCCCCAAGCGCGTCAATCTCTGGGGTCAGTCCCAAGAAATAAAAGTCCTTGTTACATGAACAGAGAAGGGACACACTAAACCACATGCAGCATGTATCTTCCTGGATCAGACGCTGGCTGTGAAAACCAGCTGTAAATGTCATTTTGGGGGGACAACAAAGCCTTTAGCCTAGAGCTCACATCAACAGAAAGGAAACACGAGGGGACTTCAAAAACCTTGTGGAAAATTAAGACTTATAAAGAGCATGGAGTCCTTCAAACTTTCTGAAGCCTCCTCATGTAGGAGCTACGAGAGAGAGCAGGTGGGTTGGGTTTGAGAAGACACTTTGTTCTTCCTGGCAGGGGCCACACCAACGTGGTGGCATGACCTCACTTAGATCCAGATGACAAAGACGGGAAGATGTCCACTACAAGTGGTCATGTGAGTGCTTTGTGTTTACCTGTATTCCCAATCTCCTACAGTGGACAGACTGTGCATTTTAGGTAAGAATAAAGTGGGACATACTGCTCATCGCTGCCCAGCAGAGCTTCAGAGACCACGCAGTGCAGACCACTCACGCCACCCACCCACCTCCACCACAGGAGGGGCCCTGTCTGCAACGGGGTGAGTGGACCTCTGGGTAGAGCGGGGAGAAAAGACCACTAAGGACCCTGACAAAAACAGAACACGCTGAGGTGGGAAAGCAGTCCCACGGAAGCTTTTTGGGGAGACTCCGGATTCATGGGAGTTCTGTGTTCCTCACAGAACTCTTCACACAGGTGTCGAGAGCTGACAGGTTCCAACTCACAGCGACCCTAGAGGACAGAACAGGACTGCTCCATGGGGTCTTGGGCTGTCAATCTTGAGGAGTAAGATGGCCTCATCGTTCTCCTGCCGAGTGGCTGGTGGGTTTGAACTACTGACTTTATAGTTAAGCAGCCCAAAGCCAAACCCACAGCACCACCAAAAAACCAAAACCAACAACAAAGCCCTCTTCTACCAAGTCAATTCTGACTCACAGTGACCTACATACAGGACAGTGTTGATGGGAGCAGGGTCACTTAGAGGCCAGTTATGGAACGAGAGCTACCGACTACACTGACCAACCTCAGAGACCCGCAAGACAAACACTGCACTGGGAACCACGGGGTCAGTGATTTGAGCCCACCAGCCGCTTACTGCAGGCTTCCTGCAAAGATTGGTAAGTCTCGGAAACCCTACACAGGGTCACTATGAGTCGGCGGAACAGAACTTAATAGCACCAGCACCCCTAAGTACCAAAAGAAATGCGACAATTTGAGTCACAAACAGAATTCCAAAATGCAATCATCTCCACTACCTTCACACCCAAGCCCCTATCACAAAGAGTGGCCAAATCTTCCATTTTTTAAAAAAGAAACAAGTTATGATCGTTTTCCTTTGGGTCTGGCAGGCATACCCTCCTGAGGTGTGCCGTTTGGGAAGGCAGATGCCCTGAGGAGCCATGGGGCCAGTTCTGACTCACGTTCCCCACCTGTGCAGAACAGAACCAACCCACAGGGCACTAAGGCGGTCTTCTGCGGGGCCTCTGGGTGGGTGTGAACCACTAGCCTTTCAACATGGAGCCCAGCGCTTAGCTGTCTGAGCCACTCAGGGACTCTATTGTGAGATGACCTTATGAGCCAGCTGCGTCTCTGCATGTGGGAATGAAGGCATCATTCTGTTTCTGGAGGTCATCTCCATCCAACGCCACCGGCCAGTGTGTTCTGCAGGCGCAGACCCCACCGCACAACTCCTTGGTAAGCAAGCTCCCACTCCGACTATTCAGTCATGAGGAGAGGCAAGAGCTTAGCAGAGTCGTAAATGAGAAGGATGACACACTGGGACATATGCTGAATTTGCACGTGTTCTGTGATGGACTCATGTGCTTCTAAGAACACACAAGCTCGGACATGAGGCAGGATTCTCGGGGGTGCAAACTGTCAAGCACTCAGCTACCAACCAAAAATTGAAGGATCAAGTCCACTCCGAGGCACCCTGGAAGAAAGGCCTGGGGATCTACTTCTGAAAAACCCACCACTGAACTCTATAGAGCGCAGTTGTATTTCGTCCCACACGGGGTCGCTGTGAGCTGGAATCGACTGGACGGCAGCTGCTTTTAGTACGAGGCAAAGGAACATGCCCAGAGAGGTATCTGGCATTTAAAAGGACTCTGTGAAATCTTGGTTCCAGAAAGCAGCTTTTCCCTACAGACAATGGTGATCTGGGTCTGTAAATATGATAGCCAAGAAAATCCACAAATGACGCATGCTACCATCCTGCTGAGTGAGAGCAGCCAGAGGCCACGAGGTCACGTGTTAATCCGGGTGAAAGCCAGAGAGACAACGCCAATTAGTGCTGCCTGCGTGTGAGTGTGTGTGAGTGTGTATGTGAGTGTGTGTGTGAGTGTGTGTGCGTGAGTTTGAGTTTATGTGAGCGTGAGTGTGTGTGCGAGTGTGAGTATGTGTGTGAGTGTCTGAGTGGTGGAGGAGGGATGTGGCTGCTGGGAGGGGCTCCCTTTTGGTGGTGATGAAAATGTTCTGGAATTAAGTTAGTAGTGATGGTGTACAAAAATCAACACTTTAAAATGGTGACTTAGAGTGAATTAAAAAATCATGAAAATAAATATAAAGAATCACTGTGTCCACTTACCTCTCCCACTCCCACCCACCCCCCCCAAAAAAAGAGAAGCCCTATGGATCAGTTCTACCCGGTCATGCCTGGGGTCACTCTGAGTTGGAAGCAACTGGATCTGGGCGCAGTTACAGGTGAAACTGGGGAAAGTCACACTCAGGCTTCCGGACTCCTGGTGAGCTGTCCATCCCTGGGGACCTGACCCCAAACCAACCTCTGTTCTGGTTCCAGTCATGGGCATCACCGAGCTGATTGACGTTGTACCTGTACCCATCCTGGTGGCGGAAATAGTCATCAGTGCTGAACACGATGCCGTCACGGCTCTGACCAAGCAGGATCCTGACAGAAGAAATCAGAAGGGTTGCAGTTAGACATCTGTCACCCCCAGAACCAAGACCCACAGGAATGCGTTTCTGGTCCTGGCCTGGAAGATCAGCACTGGGCTGCTAACCTCAAGGTGGGTGGTTCAAAGCCAGCCTCTGCTCCACAGGAGAAGGATGAGGCAGCTAGTAAACCTGCACAGGGTGAGCACAAGGACTGCTAACCACAAGGTTGGCAGTTCAAACCCACCTGCAGCTCCTTAGGAAAACCACACAGGATTGCTATGAGTCGAAACCACTGGACGGCACTTAACAACAATGGGACTCAAATGTAAACTACCAAGCCACTTCAATTGTCACATCACAGCCAGTACAGAGCTTCCGAGAGCACCACTGGTCCCCAAAGTAGGCCAGCTCTTACCCAGGTTTTAATATCAGTGAATTTGTACTGTGTCTGAAGTGGCCTGAGCTTTGTGAGACAAACCCAAAATCTACTGCCATCGAATTGACAACTCGCAGCAACCCTATCTAGGGTTTCCAAAACTGTGACTCTTCCTCCCTCAAAGCTGCTGGTAGATTCGAACTGCTGACCCTGCCATCTGAGGAGAGCCACACTGGGCCCAAAGCAGCTTCGATGAACTCAATTCCATGAGCACAGATACCTCTGATCTTCGAGGAGGAGCCGGAGTTCACGTGAGGTCTAAGGCTCTGAAACAACCTGTGATCCCCCAAACACCATCCAAACCTCAAGCTTTTGTGAGACAAGATTACTAAATGGAATTCTGAATTGGCAACTGGTTGCTTTATATGTTTGTTTATTTTTTCACAGACAAAAAGAAAGAGAGACTAAATACAAGTAATGATGAAATATTAAATGACAAAGAGAGGCTCAGATTAAGTCAAAGATCATGACAGTGTGGTCTCTGCGGCCGTCAAGTTGATTCGGACTCAATGGCCACCCCCGTGTGCCTGCCGAGAATGGCCCCAGATGGTTTTCTGGGTAATACCATCTTTTCTACACAAATAACATACACGATGTTATTGCTGGTTGTTGTGAAGTACCACTGACTCAGTTCTGACTCACAGCGACCCTGTCCACGGTTTCTCAGCAGTTGGCTGGTGGGTTTGAACTGTCGACCTTACTGTTAGTCCAGTGCTTATCCTACAGCAGCACACCAGGACTCCATACACACACACACACACACGGACTAACCACGTGTGTGTATATATGGAGTCCTGGTGTGGCTCTGTAGGATAAGCACCAGACTACCGTGTGTGTGTGTGTGTGTGTGTGTGTGTGTGTGTGGACTCGTGGTGTGTAGAATAAGCACTGCTGTTGTTGTTGGGCTGCAAAGTTGGTTTGAACCACAAGGTCGGCGGTTCAAGCTTCCCAGCTGCTCCTCGGAAACTATACAGGGTTGTTACAAGTTGTTACCAAAACTGATTTGATGCTACTTTACAACAACAACATACTATAGGTTATTTGTGTAAGAAAATATGGCATAGCACAGAAAACTCTTAACAACAATATGTATATGTATGTTGTTGTTAAGTGCCTTTGAGTTGATTCTGACTCATAGAGACCCCGTGTAGGGTTTCCAAGGAGCAGCTGGTGAGCTTGAACCGCTGACCTTGTGGTTCAAATCAACTTTACAGTCCAGCACGTTAACCCATAGCGCCACACCAGGACTCCACATATACATGGTGGTGGTGGTGGTAAAGCGCCGTTCCACCTCATAGCAACTCTGTATAGGGTTTCCAAGAGAGACTAGTGGATTTGAACTGCCGACCTTGTGGTTACCAGTTCAGTGCTTATCCTACAGCACTACATCAGGGCTTTTGGGATGTGAAGAACTTATATAATGAAAATTATGAAATACTTGTGGAAGCTATTAGAGAAGACTTCAATAAATAGAAAGACGTTCCATGTACATGGATTGGAAGATATGATGTCTTAAGATGCCAATACTACTCAAAGCAATCCACAGGTTCACTATCACTATCATCCTGATAAAAATTTCAACAGCCTTCTTTACAGAATAGAAAAGCCAGTCCTCAATTTTCTATACAATGGCAGAGGCCCTGAATAGCTAAAACCAGGATCAGAAAGAAGGTAGCAGGAAGACTCACACTTCCTGATTGGCTAACAGCTAGAGTCCTGGTGGGGCACTGCAGGATGGCACACTGGACCACAAGGTCAGCGGTTCAAACCTCGCCAGCTACTCCTCGGAAATCCAATGCAGGGCTGCTATGAGTTGGAACTGACTCTACAGCACTTAGCAGCAACAGTAATCCAAACAGCCTGGTAGTGGGAGAACAACAGACATGTAGAACTGAGAGGACAAAAGTAAACCCATACATCTACGGTCAACTGATTGGTGACAGGGTGCCAAGTGCATTCAGCAGGGAAGAAGAGGGTTTGGTGCTGGGAAAATTAGGGAAATGAAAGCTGCAGAGAAATCAAATAGGAGCAACGCCCTCACACCGCATACAAAACAAATCCATAAAGGATTAAGGACCAAATGTGTCAGCTAAAACCACACAACTCTTAGAAGGAAAAACAGGGGCAGCACTCTAACAATGGCCCACCTAGCATAACACCAAAAGCACGTATGTTATTGTTGTTGTTATGTGTCGTGGAGTCGGACAGCAGAGAGCAAAACAAAAACATGGGATGGACCTCATAAAAATGTAAAACTTTTGTTCACTGTTAAGACTTTACTAAAACACAAAGAGGACAAGCTACCAACTAAGAAAGTATCTTTGGAAACCAAATCTCTGACACAAACATAATAGCCAAAATACATATAAAAACTTCAACAACAGGGAAAAAAATATCCACAAATAAGCCAATTATGAAAGATCAAAGGACTTGAATACACATTTGACCAACGAAGACATTCAAATGACCACTGGGCACAAGAAAAGCTGCCAGGTATCATTAGACATCGAAGAAATGCAACTCAAAACCTCAGTGAGATGCCAGTTCACTCCTACTACGACGACGACTAAGATTTTAAAACAAGCACACAAAATGCTGGCAGGGTGTGGAGAACCTGAAGCCCTTATCCATCGCTGTTGGGAATGCTAGGTGGCACAGCCATTGTGGAAAACAGCATGGTGGGTTTCTCAAAAAACGCAAATTAGAACCACCATCATTGTTAAGTGCGGTGGAGTCGGTTCTGATTCACAGTGACCCTGAATAAGGTTTCCGAGGAGAGACTGGTGGGTTTGAACCAGCAACCTTGTGGTAAGCAGTCAGGTGCTTATCCTACAGCACCTGACCAGGACTCAGCAAACCCACTTCTAGGTATGAACCCAAAAGACTTGAAAGCAGAGACTTGCACACCACTGGTCATAATAACACGATTCAGGGGAACACCCTAAACCCTCATCAACAGATCACTGGACCAATACCGTGGGCTCATACATACAATGGAGAAACGAAGTGTTGATACACGCTAAACACGTATGGAACAAGAAGACATTGTGCTGAGTGAAATAACCAACCGCAAAAGACAACTCTCACATGTCTGACCTAAATAAAACAAGACAAGGCAAATGGACAGACACCAAAGTTAGTGGTTACGAATCGGGCTGCGAACCTTAAGGTGAGCGGTTGGAAACTACCAGCTGCTCCACGGGAGAAAGATGAGGCTTTCTACTCCCGTAAAGATTTACATCCTCGGAAACCCTATACAGGGTCGCTATGGGTCAGAACCGACTCGATGGCACACAACAACAACAACAACCAGTAAGGAGCTCTGGTAGCGTAGCGGTTACGAATCGGGATGCTAAACTCAGGGTCAGCATTTGGAAACTACCAGCTATTCCGTGGGAGAAAGATAAGGCTTTCTGTTCCCGTAAAGATTTCCAGCCTTGGAAACCCTGTACAGGGTCCCTATGAGTCGGAACCGACTCCACAACACATTAACAACAAAAGGTGAGGTTGGAAGAGGAGAGGAAACAGTGATGGGGAAATCACAGCCGATTATTGTCACTGCTGTCGATAGACTATCCACCTGTGAAAAGTTGCACTGGAAAAGTTGTGTGATAGCTATATTTATAACAATGTCAAAAAGTAATATGGCAGCTTTGAGGCTGCTTACAGACAACTGAACACCACATGTGGCTTGGTTCCTTGGTTTGGAGGTTCAGGGACCTGGGTTCATAAGACTTCTCGGTTATCTGGCCTCATAGTGCATTTAGTGCTTCTGGTCTACCTTCCAGTTCATTCCATAGTGCCCAGGGTCTTAAAAGCTTGCAAGTAGCCATTCAAAGCTCACGTCTTATCAAAAATGTGTTTACTAACCTACACTTTGTTTTGTCTTTTTCCTTTTTAATGAAGCTATAGTCAGCGTTTCCTTCTGCTATGCATAGGGGTCACTATGAGTCAGTACGGACTGAAGGACACTTAACAACAACAATAGTCTATTTATTAACAAACAAAAAAAGCCACCGATATGGATCTTGAGATGTGTGAGGCCTAGCCCAAGCATTTAGGGTAAAACATTTGAGAATATTAGAATTGTCAACGTTTTCAACAGCCAAATCATATCAGAACTCTCTCAAGTTAATTCAGGTGCCAGAATGGACCCTCAGAACGTCATAGCTTAGAACTTTGGAATAAATCATATAGGTAATTTTTAAATAACTTTAAAAAAAATCAGATCTGGGCAGAGCAGACACTTGTTTTGTATGTTCTTTAAAACTATAGCTATCATAAACGATGGAATGGATGTAAAACTAAAGTTCTCCCATGTAAACTACCATATAATTCACAATAAAACATAAAAAAAAAAAACACTATAGCTATCTTTCTGAGAACCTACTATGTGTCAAAGACTTCCTGCACATTTAAGGAACTGCGTGGGGCCGTAGCTAAGGGCT